CAACGGGCCGGAGTCCCCCCGCGACAACTTCACCGAGGATTCCGGCGAGTGCTCTTCGTACGCCGACCACCCCATCAAGGTGGAGTGCCCGTCCTTCGCCATCCCCGTGCCGCCGGCTGACGGTGAGTAGCCGGCCGGCTCCCGCCGCCGGCTGTCCTCCCCTCACCCCCGGGCTCTGGCAGCCCGGCTGCCGGCGCTTCTCCCTAGCTAGCGCGCTTCTCGAGTGGCTTTTGCCTTATCCTGCCGGCTCCCGCCCCGTCCTGCGCGCTCCGAAAGCCGCCCGTGCCTCCCCCCGCTCTTGCACCTTGCGCGTCCCCGTGAAGTGCGGAGCCCCATGGAGCGGGCTGCTGCGGGTCTGGAAATGCGGCGTGCCGGGGAGGGGGAGATGCTGCGGACAGTGACCTGAGTGAGGCTTTTATCGGTGTTTATCGATGGGGAGCCAGCCCATGGAAAACTAGCGCAGAGATTTTCGAGACAAAGTGTCAGGTAGCATTGTAAAAGAAAATAAGCTTTTCCTCGCTGGAGGATTTTCCCATTCCCTGCAGACTGTGCGCAGTTTTGCTAATCGGTATTGAAACGATAATGATGATACCTGAAAAATCATCTTCTTGTTGCAGATGGGCCAGAAAGCCAGGGAAGAGCTTTTGCATAATAAATGACGTGGGTTGTTTTAGTAACACTGCTGCTAACTTTATCGGATAAAGCCTGTCCTTCCCCTGCGCCTTCCTTACCCTCCGCATTTGTATTGTGGAGGTGCGGGAAAATGCTGCTTGTTTTCAATCTAGATTAATGCAGGGTTTTTAATACAAACATGAACCTGTCTTCAGAAGTTGACATCACTTAGGAATCAGCCAATTGGTTGACATTTCAGCAACCTTCTTTTTTACACTTAACCCCCATCAAAGAGTTGTTTACACTAATGTTCTTTTGAAATGCAAATCTAGAATGCCAACAGACTGAAACTCAATTTAGATTAATGTAATTACCTGCAATACGCAAATGAGGCTATACTATTTAATAACCTTCACTTAAACCTTTTTAGAAGATGAAAAAGACTCCTATTGTTGAAGTTTAGTACTGCAACAATTAAAATTGCCTCTGTGATTTTTGTGTTACCCTTGCAACTTGGTAGAAGTTTGTAGGTTCGTTTTAGAACTCTGAAAGAAAAATACCTCAAATAAATACAGCTCATATCGAGAAAGTGGAGCCTAATGCTTTGAGACGTTAGGTCACATCTTGTAGGGAGATTTTTTTGCTGCTTTCCTCTTAGGGAATTGTTTTACATCAGAAAAAATAATTGATTCTTTCCTTGCTTTAGGCTTTAAAGAAGTCAGTGCTCCAACTATTACCCCACCTCTCAATCAGCCCAAAAGATCAAAAAAACGCCATACAAATTTGACATTGGATAAAATGATGGAAAAATTCCTGCAGCAGAGCATGGATACAGATGAGAAATTTTACAGATTCGAAGAGCAGAGGCTCAGAATTGAGGACAAGCGTCGGGAAGCTGAGCATGCTCGAGAACTCCAGATGTTACAGATGTTGGGACAGATGTTGGCTGGAATTTCTTCTACAGTATCACAGAGATCACAGTCTATACCAGCAAGTCCACCTCGGAGAGCGAACCATCGTTCATATGCGGATAACTTTAATTATAATGCTATGACAGCAACACTTTCTCCACCGATAGGTACTTCCTTCTACAGCATAAATAAAAGCTAGGGTACTTTTTAAAACTTCTGTGTGAAAGCACTGGTAGTAAGTAGCTTTTGAAAATAAAAGCTAATTGGAATTATTTAATACTGTGATGAAGGTGTTTGTCTGACGTCAAATGAAATTAAATCATTATTTGTACCATTGTACTGATTATTTAATACAGGTACATTAGTTATAACAAATTTTGATGAGCAAAATCGTACCTTTTGAACCCTGTAAACTTTGGGAATTTTTTTCTACATTTATGTCTCTGTACTGTGAAATTAGGAGAAGTTTTATGCATAAAAGGCAACTAGGAGAGTTACTGGAAGCAGTCTGGAAGCATTAGTTACTTTGTAGCAGGAACTTTGCTGCTTTTCAGCTTGAAGTTATCAAGCCTAGCCCAGTATATGAAGTTAAGGCTGTGCCTGTGTTTTTTCAGGGCGGGGAAAAGAGTGGAGGTTTGCCTACGCTGAAGTAAGTCAGATGTTAAGATCTAGCTTCTTTAAAATAATTTTTTTTACAACAAAATCCTGAATCTTATCAATTAATTAAGTGGGCGTAATAGAAGATGAAAATACTGCTTATGTTTTTTTCTACACCAGCTCTTTATAAATTCTCTGGGCATCTGAATTTACTTTAAAGAAAAGGGCAAAGCAGTATCTCAAGAATTGGTATTTGTGCACAAACTCTTCCTTCTGTACCTCCATGTATGGGCCAGAACCTGATGGTAGCAATCATTAACAAACTTCTTGGGATCTGTGTGCCTGTGGCATTTATCATGGTCTCTTTTAACATGGAGGTAGACTGTGCAGGTAGGAGGAAATCAGGAATCTATCAGTGCTGCAAACAGAGTGAAATTGGCGCTTAGTGATTGTAGCTTGCCAAGTGGAAATGAAATAAGTCTTACTGTGTTCTAATTCTGAATTTCATACTGCTTGTAAGAAAAAACAGTGCAGTTTGAAAAGAGTAAAAAAAAAAAGCAACCACCCAACGTGAGTGTTGAATAATAATCTGGCATGCCAGATCCTAAGGGGCATTCTCTGAGTCCTGAGAGGTGGTTTCAGTTGTGTGTTAGTTACCATTTCCCTGTAAAATGCATGGCAGACTGGGTGGTTAGGCCTGTTGAGGGTTTAGGCTGGCAGATCTGGTTGTGTTTCTTGAGTGGATAGTTGGTGTGTAGGATTTCCTGGTGGCAGCAGATTTTTTTTGATAATTTCTGGGGTATCAACAGATACAGTGTTTCAAATGTTGTTTTCACTTTTAAAATAAAGGAAAACTGGTGTTCCTTAGAAAATCCCATAGGGAATCCTTTAAGGCTCTAGACTGGGGTGAAGGTACCTACAAGGCCTTACCATTACTTCTGGAAATTTTTTCCTGAAAACCTTAATTATGTGTAACAGCCTGAAACTGAGGTTCAGTTTTTTCTCCCTGGATTTCATCATATAGGTGTACAGGCATATTGCATTGTGGAAAAATGCATTTTATGTATTTAACTGTAGCAAGAGCAGCTCGAGATTCTAATCTTCTAACTGGCAAAGGTGTAAAAAAGTGGTTACGCTAAAATGTGAACATAATGCTTCAGGCAACACATCTTTTAAGGAATTAAGGTTTCATTTGTTAAGAGCTGAATATGCTGTAGTGATTCTGTTGGTAGAGTAGGTCTATATTAAGAATGGCTTTTTGCATAATCCTCTGTTTTCTCTCCATTTATTACGTAGTCACTTTATATTCACACATGAACAAAAACCAGCAGTAAATAAACAGAAGGCCTTCTTAATACCACTGCACTTTAAGAGTTCCAAACTCTATAATGTTCTTGTGTGGTTGAAAACCAGCACGTGTATGAAGTGTGATTTAAAGAAAATATCTGCCCTATTTTCAGAGGAGATGAGCATTTTGTTCTCCTCTGGGTCACTGCAATGCTATTTTGGCCATAATCCAAAACAGGTTGTGGGGTTTTCTCTTTTATTTTCATTCATCATTTCCCTTCCCCCCCCTCCCCCCTGCCTTTTTTTTTTTATTATTTCTCAGTAGGAGTGGGATGCCTGTATTCAAAAGCGAAAGATCAGCCAAGAATATTTATCATTATTGAAGACTAAAGCATACTATTACTGAAGATTAGCATGTCTGGTTTAGGTTTTGATTCTGTGGAAGACAGAGAAAAAGATTCATTTTGCTTGATAGCACAAGCTTTGGAATTTTCTTGTTTATTACATTTTTTCCCCTTATTATGCCCAGTATTTCTGGAACAGTTTTTCTTTTATTTTTCCTTCTTTCTTTCTCTCTTAATTTTGGGGTTGTGATTTGGGGTTACTGAGTTTTATACAGCTGAAAATAAGGAGTATCACAGGAGTTACTTTCTACACAATTATGTTATATATGTGTAGCAATTGAAAGGTTTTTAGAAGATCTGTAAAAAAGAAAGTGAGCATGGCTGTGGTGTAGGACACTGATATTAGCATTCAAATAAGCTACTCTTCTGAACAGATTTTTGCAGGTAATGAAGAGCTTTTAAGAACTTGTTCTTTTAGTGTATTTTCTGCAGTTTATAGTTAACACATTGTTGGTAGAAGTAGTGATCTTCACATTTTTCCATATTGGGTAAATGTTTTATTTCTTTCTAGTTGTAATTGTTGTAATTATTTTCTTCTTCTAAATTTTTGTAGCCTTTTGAAAGAGTTACTTGGTACATAGCCTGCTGGGTGTGCAGTCTTTTTTAGTATGTGGCTTGACATGTAGCTTTGCATCAGAGATCTGGAGATGTATTATAGCTAAAAATGATCTTTGTGTGATATTTGTGATGTTTGCATCTAGTGCGTTGGATTATAGTTTTGCAGAAAGACTTTCACTGTGCTTTGTAACCGCCTACCAAAATAAAAAAGCAGTGAGATTTTGCTAAGAGGTGGAAGTCTTTAAGGGGAAGCGAAATATAAGGTAGGGTGTACATTTAAAATTTGGTTTCAGTTGCTTTGTGCTTGCTCTGTGTCTGGGTGTATTTAGTCTTTACTAAGTGTACCTATTTCAGTTGAGTTTCATTATGGAACTGATTTCAGGCTGAACTAAGAAGGTATTTCTAGTTACAAAATCTTCATGTAACTATTCTGGGTTGTTGTTTCTTTCTGTACCTGAGCCCTAAATTAGGACTGTGAACAGTCAGTGAGCATATTCTCTTCATCAGACCCTGAATACATTTTTATAATCATCACCTTCCCCAGTTACTCGCTGTTCCTAAGGCCTTTCAGTGACAAAGCATTTGGATTTTAGAAGTATGTCACTTTGTGTATTCTTTGTGTGATTTTATTAGTGTACATGAGTGCTTAAGAGAAATGCTTGGCAGTAATTTAAGAAAGAACATTCTTTGAAGTAACGCTTATTTTCTTCTTTTCAGTTATAGAGAGATCTTTTTCACTGCACAGAACACACACTCTGAAGGATATGGAGAATATTTTCCAGCTGGTGCGCAATGTTATCCCTCCTCTGACAGGGAAAAAGCATAAAGGTCAAGATGGTCGTATAGGCATTGTTGGAGGATGTCGAGAGTAAGTTAAATAGAAGTTTGATTTTTGCTTCTGATAAAGCTTCAGGATGTCATAACTACTTGTAGAAGCCATTTAAGCTGACCTTACACTTAAACCACAGTTTCCAGAGAGCTTTAATACTCCATCATCATGACCATGCACACTTAGGAAAAAAATGGTATCTTGCAGATGTGTTCTGAAGTTTTGATACTGAATGTTATGGGAACTTAAAATACTGTTTATGTCTACCTTCTCTGTCTTTTCTGACCACCATACTCTCTGCTTTCAGTGTTAGTCTTTTCCCATTGCATAATGAGGTTTCAGAATGAGTAGAGTAAGACAGTGGCATATCTGATTTTTTGCTTTCTTGGGAACTGTGTCTTTGTATTTTCTTATGCTGTGTTTTCTTGTGGGCTTTTTATTTTTATAAATACTGGTGTTTACTGGATTCTGTCAATACCTCGTTTTATGTACTGGAGTAATGGGAACATCCTATTTCAGGGGAGAAAAGAGATACTGCATAAATCAGTTAAATGCTGTACTGACCTAGAAACAATATTGGCCACAATACTTTGAATGAGCCACTACACCTTCCTGTTTTTCACTTTCCCCTTTTGAAAGAGAGGTGACACCTCTCTCCTGTAAGAGATCTACTGCTAGACATCTGCCATTCATAAACATTCCATAAAGAGCAAAAAGGTGCTGTCTTGTAGCTGGGTCAAATAACCAGGAATTAGAAGCTGGTGGTCATAGGTTCTTATCTCTTGTCTGAAGCAAGCACCTTTGGAGGGTGATTGTGTTCATATCTCTCTCTTCAGTTTTTATAAAGAGAATTTAGGGCAACTGGAATCACAGTTTAGGCACTTTAGTTAAGCATCTAAAGCCAGATGGGATTGATCCAGGTCACAGATCCCATATTTAGCTTGCAAGCAGTTTTTGGCTCTTGTTTTGTTTGTCTCTAAACTGTCACCTCTGTTACTTGAGAAAATTTTGCTGGTTCATGACATGATCTTTGTAAATATTTCTATGGAAGATCATTATCTAATCTCATTCTGTGTTTCCTGACCTAAATTTTATTTTGTTTCAGATACACTGGAGCACCATATTTTGCTGCAATTACAGCTCTCAAAGTGGTATGTGTTCTTCTATAGAAATCCAAAATGAAGTTTTGATCATTTCTGTTGTCTGGGTGTCATTTTTAAAATAGCATTCCTTCTGTAGTGCACATGGACCTTGAACTCTAGAAGGTCTTCTCTTGAGCAAAAAAAAATCCTTAGTCCAGAATTTGTAGAAACACTTTGTGAATGTGTCATTTACTGTGTTTCATTCACTGTGTTTCCTTTCTCTGTGTAAGATGAAGTTAGAAATATGTCCAGAATTTGACAATCTCGGGGACTTGGATAGGAAATTTCAGGACTTAATGAAATATTTTCCCCAAAAGTGATCACTAAAATAACCTTAGATTATTATTAAAAGTTCTGTTTTTGCACTATAGTGAGTTCTTCAGATATTTTTTTTTTCTGGACCTGATAAGCGTGTTGAATGAAATAATTTTGTTTCAAAACTTAAAACTTTCACCTAGTAAAATTCTTACATGCTCTAAGTTTAAAGATTGTGGGTGGAATTCAATGTTATTTCTAATAGCACATTCAATTTGCATTCTAATCTTCAGCAGAAGTATTTTCTAAGCTTTTTTTCCTAGAAGCATGAACTTCCTTATTTTATTGACAAATGGCTAAACAGACTACATAAACACAGGGTGATTGTACGAATGTAAACAAGTCATGCTTACATAATACATCTAATTTTCAGAATGCTGTGTATAGTGTGCCAGTACTTTCAGTTCATTGTGTATGTTTTTCTTTTTGAAGAGTTCTATCAATATCTAGGTAACCATCCCAGATATTTCCAACCACCTCTTCTCTCAGGATGCAAGCCCTCAAAGATTTAAAACTGAAATTATGTTATTTAACCATGTTAGTATAAGATCCCAGGGCCACTCAGCTCTCTGTCCACTATGTGCAAATCCAGTGGCAATACTAGGAGGTTCCTCACTGAAGTAATTTGATTTCAGTTGTATCTGCCCATAAACAGAGTAGCTTGAAATGTTAAATGTACAGTAGTAAAGCAGAGAAGACACTTCCTTAATACTGGAAACTTCAGTATGCATGATCAATACAAGATGCACTGATGTGGTCACTGCTTACATAATTTTATGTATATTCTGATTTTTGAGTTGTTAGCAGACACTTGAGACTCAACTCTTCAGCATTAATGTTTATTTAACATAAGGTGTGTTGCTGAAATTGTGCCAGCCTTTTTCTTGTATGAATTCAGCCCATTGGGTAAAAATGGTAGGACTAGAAATCTATTAATGAGTTTCTATAACTATATTTTGCATGTATGTTACAGTAGTGTTATGGCTATCTTATGTAGCTTTTTCTCATGTTCATCTGTGTTCTTTTGTACATTAGACATTGTAGTCCTTGCTCATCTACAGATGAGAAACATTTCTTAAGTGAATAAAGGTTTGAGATTTGTGTTTTCAGTCATCCTGTTAGTAAGAAACAGGAAAAATATCATATTGGAAGTTAGGTACAAAAAGAACAGAACATTTCATACTAGTCTATGCCAAAATAGAAGAGACAATAAAATTTGTTTAATCTATTGAGAAGAAAGAATTCAGTTGAATTATTAGCTGAGTAATCTTTAGAATGATAAAGTTTATTATTAAGTATAAATTTGATAATGCTGTTTGCAAATCTTTTTTTTTTAGGGTGCAGATTTATCCCATGTGTTTTGTACCAAAGATGCAGCAACAGTAATCAAATCATATAGTCCAGAGCTGATTGTTCATCCAGTTCTGTAAGTGACTTACATTTTGTTTAAATGAGCTAGTCAGGCTTACAAGTTTTAATATTTCAGTCTTAATTGATTACTTTGTGTTGTTTTGCTGAGTTACTGGATGGAAGAGCTGGAGATCACAAAAACTCTGGGCTTTGTCCTTTCATTACAAGCAGTTAAATATTAAATGTGGGACAATCAGTGGTGAGTTTTTTTGTGACAGTCAAAATACAATTTTTAAAAAGCAGGAATCTTTCTTTCTGCTTCTTGCTGACGTGTTCTGTGATTGTAATGCATTTACCAGTGAACAGTAGCAAGATCCAGAACTACAAATTACTACAAGTCAGCAGTTTGCAATCTGCAATTTGAAAGGCAAATGGAGTGTGCTCTCTTGCTTCTTCAGCCCTAATAGTATTTAACAGTAGTGTGTCTGTTTTCCTCTCACTACTGTGTATGTAGACACCTATGCAAAATTACCAGGCAAGAGAAATGCTAGTTCTTCTTTGTGAGTATGTTGCTTGGGAATAAATGGATGTTCCAAAACCATATAAAATACAGGGTTTAATTAACAAAAATATGAAAAGTTTAATAAGTAACTGTCCTCCTAATTGGAAAAATCAGTGTGTTTGTGCACGCTTCTCCAAATTTTTGTTCTGAAATGTGTTACTGATTGATGAACTTTCACAGGATAAATTTGTTTCAGTGAGGTGTTATGATGGTTTACAATGAGCACTGCAAGTGAGAGTTAAGATGTGTGCCTTAGGTGTATGCCTGTGAGCTTAGCTCGCACCAGTGCGTGTCAGAGTCTGTTGGTGTACATAGCAAAGCCGTGATTACGGTAGGAAAAGCATAATTTAAAAACGTGTTTGTCAGATATTGCTGTCAGGAAGGATTTATGACAGTAGAAATATTTTGGTGTCTGAGAACAAGAATGTGATCTTCCTTATGGGGATGCCTGTGGTTGGAAGTCAGAAGTTTATTGCATTCTGAAGGTGGGTTTCATTCCTGTCGCTGGAGATAGAGGTGTTTTAGAAAGAAGGCAGCTAAACAGGGCTGTGTTTTGTTGGCTGCTTTTTCCCCCCACTCCCCAAAGGTAGAAGAAACCCATAACTTTATGGGTTTCAGACAAAATAAAAATGATGTTTGAAAGCAGGGAAGACATAGGTAGGGATTTTACCACTACAGCTGTTTGCCTCTTAAATCTAAAAGGTGTCTCTTTGGTTGATTTTCTATCATATCATATATTTGCTATCATATGATAGCAAATGCAGTGGAGAAGCCTAATGGCAATATTAACATTTGACTTGGGGTGTCTGGATGTTCCAGTTGAGATACAGCATATGGTCATCTTGTATGGCAACGAGTTGGCCTTGCCTTGGGAAAAGCACGGTTTGTCCTGATCTCTGGCAATGGAAAATGTTAACAGGAGAAATAGAAGTAGCACAGAGGAAAAAGGAGGTGAAAATAGGGTTAAGAGTAAACTTTCTGTTCATGAAGGACCAAATCGTGCCTGCTAAGTAAGAGTGGGATTTTTTTATACACAGATTCTCAGTGTCTTCTGTGGAATTCAGATTTCAGTGAAAACTCTGATCTTTCTACCTGCAAAGAGAACTTTTGATTTTAAACTTCTGCTCTGTGAGTTCCTTCAGATGTACACAGTACAGACAATCTACCAATTTTCATATCCGTATATCTTTTAAGTCTGTGACTCAGTATTTAATACTTATATTGAAACTCTGATTAATTTCACACAGACAGCTGGGCTAATTGCATGATGCACTGGATCTGTAAATATTGTTTACATGACATTCAGAATCAAAAAACTGCAAATATCTGAGTGTTCAGATTTTATTCATTAAATTTTCTCATGTTTTTATCTCTTCTGCTTTGTTCTCAAACTGGGAAAGAAAAAACAGTCTTTTCTGGTTAGAAAGGAAAAAATCTTGATTGACTCTACTGAGCCCAGGTTTTATTGAAATTTACACTAACAGCCTATTTTTCTTGCGAGGTCCTTTGTCTTCAGTGTCACACTTTTCATATGATCCTTTATATGTTGTGGAGCCGTTTGAGTTCCGCAGGCACAGCCGGCTGCCCTTGATTCAGAGCCTGATCTCTTAAACACTCTTTGTACTTTCTCCCGGGCCGCACTTCACGCATGGAAGAACCTCCGGGTAAAACCCACGAGCAGCTATGTCATTGTTTTCTTTTGTGTCTCTCCTTAAAACTTGGCTTTGTTATGATTTCTCCATGACCCTTCAGAGTAACTAGGTAGCTGTTGTACCACTCTCTTATTATGCTAATCATAATTATGGCCCCGTGTACTCAACTCCCTGTTTGAACAGCTTGGCATTTTGCCAGGGTTCAGCTGCCATTTTGTACTGCTGGGAGTCTGACATTTTATCATCTTAGCTGCCACAGCTTTCTCTACTGCCTTCACCTCACAGGGGATCACCTCAAGGGAAGAAAATGCTCTTTTCTTGCCCCCTCTGAATGCTTGGGCTCTTCTGGCTCATTAGAGCCGCTGTTGTGGATCTTTGCCAGCATGACTGGTGAAGGTATGTGAGAGTCAGAAGTTGGACTGGAGCATTTCGGGTCTTTGGCAAGTGTCTGTCACTTGAAGGATGCAGAGAATGTTACATGAGAACGATTGAGCAGGATGGCAGAAGGAGGGTTATGAAAACGAGCATGGCCAGGGCAGTCCCGTGTGACCTCAGATGTAATCCTTCCTGGGAATCCTTTTGGTGTAACATGCCGTGCTGGCGACACCCACAGTGCCACTTTCTCTGTGGTTTTTGTTTCTTGACTTCATTCCCTGGAAGTGATTGTGAGAGCTGGGACTGCATGTGACAGCTTGGGATCTGGAAAGATGAAGCCTCAGAGCCTGGCTCTGTGTCCTCGCTACCTGGGCAGAATAATGAAAGCAGTGTGTCTGGGGGCTGTCAGTGTTATCAGCAGTAACTTTTCCTTTTTATTCAGGGATTCTGTCAGATGCATTATTCCACAACTTCCACAACACCCTGGTATTATTCAAAAACTGACCAGCTAACCAGTATTGATGTCTGACTTTTTGCTTTCCTGTGGAGGAGCAAAAAATGCATATCGCATAAGTTGGGTTTTTTGAATAGCGGCATATACCCAGTCTTGGTGACATCTGCTCTCCTTGGTCTTGTCACTGCTGCCCCAGGTTTGTGCTGCATTTTCCTGTTTTGTCAGCTAATGTGCTCCTACTGTAAATGCTTCACAAATTCAGGCAAGATAAAGCTTAGCTTTTGCATTTTATTTAGTTTTATTGCCGGTGTTCTCTGCGTGGATTTTTGCTGTAGATGTGTGCACACTTCCTTCATGCATTTCTAGAGAAGAGTTTTCAGCAGCTTTTTTATATTTGCCATGCTAGTGGCCTGGCTCAGATCAGGTCAGACTTCTTGGATACCTGTGTTGGGTTAGCTTATCCTGTCCTGGTAGGCAAGTGGTCACAGAGCTAAATGAGCTGTATGAACCCAGCTGGCTGTATGTTAAAAGAAGAGAGGATAAATCTATTGTGCTGTATTCCCATCGTGCAGGGACTTCCCAGAATTGTACAGAGATTTTCTTCTCTGCAGGCCAGAAAAGAGCCAGACACTGCTGAGTAGCCCCCTTGTAAGCTGGTTATCAGACAGTTTGTAAAGTCAACAGTCGATATACTCCTTGATCTCCAGGGTTTTATCAGAGAAGTAGAATGAGGTCATTAATTTCTTGTGGTGCCAAAGAGGTGACGTAATTTTACATTATCCACCAAAAAAACCACCCTTGAACAAGGCAGAGATTTAGAACTAATACCTTCCTCTTAGCTGATTGTATCTCTGGGTTTGTGTGGACTAGGAAAGATTGTCAGAATTACTAGAAGTCTTATAGTTAATTGCAGAGTTCAGGGTTTGGGTTGCATTTTTAAAAAGGTTATTCTTTTGAGTTTGAAATTAGAATAACTGGGAAGAAAGTTCCCCTGGGGCTGGACTGTGTGTTGAGGCCAGTTACCTTTAATGAAGAAACTCAGAGAAGATCAGGGTTTCTAGAACACATTTTACCTAGTTTTATTGATTTTTTTTTTCAATTTTGACCATTTGAAAAAATCATGAAAGTGGATCATGAGTAGTTGAGGCCCTGATAAATTACTTGAGCACTCTGAACCAGTGCCAGATCTCTTACAGAAGGCCCAGAAATAATACTGAGATTTTTGGTCCCCTGTAATTATGTGGAGAGGAGATGCAAAAGCATTGACGCACTGTGGGAGGATGCTCATACCTTTTAGTTGTGTTAGCTAAGGATAGCTATTAAACACTGCTTCAGTATAATGCTGGTACTAACCTCACTTTTGGATCAGCTGCTGGAAGAAGTGCAGAGCTGTTGTCATCAGGGAAAGTCACAGAACAAACAGATTCCTTCACCAGTCAAAAAGATGTCTCACAAGTGACTTGGCTGCTGGATCCCTGTTACACCTGCAGAGAAGATGAAGGAAGACATAAACTTTGTGATCTTTCTTCCAATGCCTCATTTAGACATCAGGCTGGCTAGGAATCACATGAGAAAGTTTGGGGTTTTTTTTCTTAAGTACTTAGTGGGAGGTAAAGGTCAGTTTGTATGTGCTGACTTAGAGAATTTATGTATTTAAACTCTTTCTTGTTCTGTCATGCAGTGCTGTGGCCAAAACTGGTTTATGGACCTGTTTTCTGTGTCCAGCTTTCTTGGCAAAAATCTGCTTCTTCTTTGCTGTGTGTTGCAGAGTGAATAAAAGCTGGGAGGTATATTTTTCACTCTGTACTATAGTCCCTTTCCTTCATGTTGTTGCAGAGGTCCCATGTGATTCCAGCAGAGGTTTTGTCACCTTCTCAAAATGTGAGAGTTAGCCAAAGATTTTTAGCATTGCTACAAGGAGTGCTGCTGTCCTTGCTGCCTTTCTGATACGCCAGTTAGATCTGGCCAAATTTATCTTCCTGAATGCTTGCCATACTGCTGTGATTTGAAACCGGGACTAAATTTCTTTGGTG